GTCCTGTTTTTCTTTTCGCCATGTATCGACAATCGGTTTGTCGATTTCCGACGATTAAAAGATATATCAAACCATATTACTCTCTCTTCGCCCTCCCGCCGCTTTCTTCAACACCACCCCTCCACCTTATCCTCCACCGTCCTTTTTCAATCTATCGCCATATCGATACACGACCGATAGCTCGTGCAAAAACGATAATCAACGAAATCGTATCGCCTCGTTATCCCCATCCAAAGTAATTAGATCATTCCACGTAACTATATTCACAGGAGCCAGCACATTATTTACTCCGTCGTTATCATCCTCCCTTCTTCTCCTCAGCTTTCTTTTTCTTCTCCTCCACCTCCTTCACTTTGTCCTACTCTTTCTTCTTTCTCTCCTACACCTTCTCCTCCTCCTCCTCCTTCTCCTTACTCTACTTCTTCATTGCATCGTCGCGATTGGAACGGCACACCAAACTTCCATTAGCATCCCTTTAATCGGCGAATAAAGAAAGAAAGAAAGAAAGAAAGAAAGAAAAAAAGAAAAAAAAAAAAAAAAAAAAAAAAAATAATCAATTCGATGTCCTTAGCTTATGCCTTGTTCTCAATAAAGACATTGAACAGATCGAGCAAAAGAGAAAAAGGAAAAGGGAAAAAAAAAAAAAAAAAAAAAAAAAAAAGAAAAAAAAAATTCTTATCCGTTAAAAGGCACCCATCGATTTCACCGTCGAACATTCCACGAAGGAAGATGATGATGATAATGATAATGATGATGATGATGATGATGATGATGATGATGATGAGGAAGAAGAAGGAGAAGAAGTAAATAAGAGAGAGAAAGAGAGACAGAGATCAGAACGATCGGATAGAAAGAGATAGGTAGAATCAAGGACGACGGATGAAAGGGGACGTTCGAGGGATGAGATCGGAGATTATCGGCTTCGGGGATTACAACAACGGAGGTGGAAGAAGAAGAGGAGGAGGAGGAGGAGAAGAATCCTCCGAAGGCTTCGAAGCAAACGATTTTCTTTCTCGATGTTGGAAAAGAAAGAGAGGAACTTGGAGAAGGGTAGGCGTGAAAGAAAAGAGAGAGATAGAGAGATAGAGAGAGATAGAGAAGAGAGTCAAAGCGAGAGCTCGAGTGACTGTTATTGGCTCTAAGGAGGATACTTATTGAACTCTTAGCGGCTTTTTTATCACTCCTTTCTCACGCTTTAAGTGTTTTCGGCTTTTGTTTAAGGTCCAACCCTTCTTCTTCTTCTTCTTCTTCTCTCTCTCTCTCTCATTTCCTCTTTTCAGCTTCTTCGAGATTCAGGTTAGCATTATGCGCACTCGAGACGTGCCACGTTCACTTGCCAACCCCCTTTCCTTCCCCTAAGATTTTTACGATGTCGATATCTCTCTCTCTCTCTCTCTCTCTCTCTCTCTCTCTCTCTCGTTAAACGTCGTATCGTAAACTCAACGCGTGCAGAGCACGCCACGTTCAAGGGATGACGTGCTGCAGTATGGGTATGAGAGTGGGGAGAGAGCTATGCCAACTACCACTTAAGCTTTTTTTCTTCCCTTCCTCCCTTTCCAGGCGCGAAAAATTCCGGTTACGAGGGATAACTAGTTTTCCACATTATCCGAACGAAGCAACCGTCTCTCTCTCTCTCTCTCTCTTTCTTCTCTTTATTTCTCTATCTATCTCTATCTCTATCTTTATCTATATATCTATCTCTCTTTTTATCTCTAGTTCCTCTTATCGGCTTGCTCAGCAAGAGATTTATCGTTGGTACGCACGCTGATTAAAATTCACCTTTCCCGATGTCGATATAAACGGCAGCGCGCGGAAAGCCGAAGCGATGAGAGCGGATTATTGAAATTATTCGTAGCACCACGTTGGATGGATATCGCTTGATAGCCGGCAACGAGCTTGTGTACGTTTACGCATGCACGTGCATATATATGTGTATATATATATATATATATATATATATATACGCGTTTGTGTATGTCTGTTTGTGTACGTGTGTTATACGGGAGAAAGAGAGGAAGCTAATGCATTCCTCGAGTTATTCATGAATTTACTTGCTAATATCCTACCGAACGCTTTTATTTTCATCACTCTCTTTTTTTCTCTCTCTCTCTCTCTCTCTTTCACTCTCACTCTGTCTCTCTATCTCTGTCTCTCTTTCTCTCTCCCTCTCTTTTTCTTCGTTTCTCCATTCCTATCTCTCTTTTTCTCTTTTCATACACTCTTTGATACTATTCGATATCGATAAAAATATGTCTCTTGCGATGCAAATGCTCTCTCCATTGGCGTATCTCGCGCGACCTTTCATCCTCTCTCTCTCTCTCTCTCTCTCTCTCTCTCTCTCTCTCATTCTCTCCTCTTGGATAATTTTTACAAAACCGATTTGCTCGAATTTCAAATGAACTTCTCCATATTACTTTCAAACCCCGTTACAATCGAAACTTCGAAAGGCAATTATTTAATCCATCGATGTGAAACGTATTCCAAACGAAAGTATAAAGTAAAAAGTCTGAGGAGGTACACCATTAGTAAGTAGAGGGACGATGAAAAATGCGAATAAAAAAGAAAAAAAAAAAAAAAAAAAGAATAGAAAGAAAAAAAAGGAAGGAAGGAAGGAAGGAAGAGAAGAACGAAGTAATTAAAAAAAAAAAAAATCCGCGGATGTATATATATTAATATATATATATATATATGTACAACAATGTATATACAAAACTCTTATAAAGAAACAATATATTAAATAATCTTTTGAAAGGTATTCTATCAGCACCTTTTAGCAAACTGGTTATATACTAACTCGGCTCTTTGCCCAAAGAATCGTGGAGATACAACGATTGATTCGCTATTTAGAGACTTCCTGCTAGCCATGATGCTCTACATTAAAATCGAATAATGACCGTCATTATCTCCGATCATTCTTGCCGCGAAGCAGCTGTTCGTAGTACTCGCCGCTTCTCTCTCTCTCTCACCCTTTGAAAGAGGAATCGCGGGTGCGAGAAGGAAAAGAAAGGAAAAAATGAAAGAAAAAATAAAAAAAAAAAAAATTAAAAAAGAGAAAGAGAGAGACAGAGAGACGTAAGAAGACGACAAAAAAACAAAGCAAAAAAATAAAAGACATATGAAAACGTTCTCTTCTTACAGTCGCGGGCTGCTATTTTTACCGAAAGCGAATCGTCTGTGTCCGAGGTAAACGCAAAGAGACACTCATACGAAAAAGAGAAAGATGAAAAAGAAGAGGGAGGGAGAGAGAGAGAGAGAGAGAAGAGGGTGCAGAAGAAGAAAAAAAGAGGAAGAAGAAAGCGAAGAAAGGAGGAGGAAAAGGAGGAGAAGGAGAGGGAGGAGGAGGAGGAGGAAGATAGAAACGATTCTCGGTTATTTACACTCTCGATAAATATACGATAATGTTATCGCCGTTAAAGCACGACACAGTGCATGAAGCTTTCGAGTCCGAGCGGGGAATAGTGAATCGTAATAAAAGATCTCGGTAAAGCGAGAGAAGCTCGGACTAACTCTCTCTCTCTCTCTCTCTCTCTCTCTCTCTCTCTCTCTCTCTCTCTCTTTCTCTCTGTCTTCTTTTTCTTTTTATTCTTCTTCTTCTTCTTCGACGTCTTCTTCTTCGTCTTCTCTCCTCCAACTCACATCGCATTCCGCCGTCTTAACGACCCGCGCAACGGGGACCGAAAGTCCGAGATGCCGCGGGCTCGACGTTTCTAAATATAACGAAAACGTATATCTATTCGACATCGAGAGGGAAACGCCGTCGTGCGCGAGTCTTTAAATCGGACCTCGACCCTCGCGAGTAAGGAAAAAAAAAAAAAGAAAAAAAAAGAACAAAAAAAAAGTTGAAAAAAGAGAAGAGGAGGAAGGAATAGAATTTTCAAAAAAAAAAAAAAAAAAAAAAAAAAACAAAGAAAGAAAGAAAGAAAGAACAAATAAATGAAACAAAATGAAATAAAATATCTCATACCAATATACAATTATTACACTTCAAATTATTAGCAATGATATACATATATATATATATATATATATATATATATATGTGTGTGTACGTGTGTGTATAAAAATAATAAATAACTGATAAAAAAAAGAAATAGATCATTATTATCGTAGCTAGTTTAATTTGTAATTCTCTCGATCAGATATTGATTAGAGTAAACCAAATGTCTAAGAGAGTAAAAGGGACAAATGAGAAAGAGAGAGAGAGAGAGAAAGGGGATAGATTTTATAACGACGAAGGGAAGCGTGATTCGAGGCGTTTATCGCAAATCAGAAAAGGTGAAGTGCGCTCCGTTAGCACGGCCACCGCAACGAGTTGCGCTCGGTATTCGGTTGTAAAACAGGGGGGTTGAATCTATCTCCGTCCTCTCCTTCCGTTTCCTCTCTCCTTCTCTCGTTATCTCTCTCTCTCTCTCTTTCTCTCTCTCCCTCTTTCTCTCTATCTCTCCCTCACTCACTCTGTGTTCACGTTCATAGTCGCGCGCGCGTCCGTTTCACGCGTGCGATCGCTCACCCGAAGAGGGTGGGTGACGAATAGATGGGGGGATGTAAAAGCGAGAGAGAGAGAGAGAGAAAGAGAACCACTGGCGTTAGTCATTCACTTCTACGCGTTTACGCATACTCACGCGAGTAATGCGGGAACCCTCGCGTGCAACAGTTAAACGTCGAGGTCGAGTCGGTTATATGAATTTCGAAAGCTCACCTCGTGCAAACGTAATCGTGGATTTTCGATCCTCGTCATACTGTTCTCTTCTTTTTCAATGATTTATTAATATTTTAACACTGACCGACGAAATCCACTTTCACCTCCTATTTATCGCTTCAAGTATTGTCAAGAAAATTACTTTCTATTACGTTCAATATTTTACTATCCGATTATTCACTCCAACGATAATAGAAAAAGCAAAAAAAAAAAAAAAAAGACGAATTATATTAAAGTCGAAGAAATTTAATCGTTAGAATATATTATGGTATATTGAATTTGTATATGATGAATCTTTTACCTCTTTATCCTTGGCCTGCAATTCCTGCTCGAGATTGCTATTTGGAGTTCTCCTGGGATTGCTAGCGTCGTGTTGCTGCTGTTGATCACTTCCCTGCGAAGTCTGGGACAATTGGTGTCCCTCAGTCTTAGAGTTACCATCGTTCGCGGTGGCTAGTTGTTCCTTTAACGCGGACACTTCCTTCTCCGCTAACGTCGCCCTCTGAAATGAATCAATCGACGATTTCATAGTTAGTTATGACCTTTAGTAATGTTACGAAGAACATTTGTTTATATACATAGGCTCTCTTTCTCACTCTCTTTCTCTCTCTCTCTCTCTCTCTCTCTCTCTCTCTCTGCGTGTCTATTCTATACAAGCAGATTGTAAATATGTTTATATTGGAATGTATCGTTCTTTTCTTTCCCCGTCTTCTCTCCTCTCCCCGCTCTCCTCTCCCCATCAAAATCCTTTATCCTCTCGATACCTCTCTAACAACAGACGTTTTCGTAATTCGACTCACGGTGTATAAGCGATCGATTAAACGAGCCGTAAGGGGAATAACGAAAGTTTCTCGTGCCGGTTAATAACAATTGTGACGCAAGTTCGAGAGAGCCTGACTGCCGCCGTTTCGCCAACGAAATCGCTTCCGCGCTAACGCAGGCACGCACACCATACGTACAAACACATCGACACCTCTGTTAGCTGTAAATTTTCACGATTACTAGAGAGACCTCGGATCGTTGAATTACCATTAACGCGTTTAGTACCATGCGAAATTGATCGATTTCGCTTTCCTACCTCTAATTTTCTGAATAAGAAAAGCTCTCTTTCTCTCTCTCTCTCTTTCTCTCTCTCTCTCTCTCTCTCTCTCTCTCTCTCTCTCTCTCTCTCTCTCTCTTTCTCGCTCGATCTTTCAGCGAAAATAGAAACTGCGTCTCGCGCTGTTACACTCAAGAACCTTCTCGATAAACTATATCGAAAACTAAAGTGACATTTCCTTAAATGACAAGAAAAATAGAAATTTATATGATTCTTTAACAGATTATCTATATATATATATATATATATATATATATATATATATATATATATAAAGGAAAAGAAAGAGAGATATATATAAATATAGAATTTCATTGATCATCGTGGTCGGACGTTAAAATATTTTCATATATAACTTTGCCAATTCTAGCTCGATGTTATCTTCGATATCCGGTTAGTCGCAAAAAAAAAAAGAAAAAAAAAAAAAAAAAGAAAAAAAAAAAAGAAATTAAAAAGTTCTCGATTTAAAAAATTTTCTTCGAGAGATCGAATCTTTCTGATTGGAAATAAAAAAGAAGAAGAGAAAAAGAAAAGAAATAAAGAAAAGAACTTAAAAAAAAAAAAAGAAAAAAAAAAAGAAAAGAAAAGATAATCTATAATCTGTTCGTAGAAATGGAAAAAATCAAGAGGATTACAACAACATGCACTATTCGCGCGTTCGGTCTCCTTTTTTTCATTTAAATCTTGAGAAAGGGAAACGAGGAGAGAGAGAAAAAGAGCGAGAAAGAGAGAACGTGCGATGGGACGTGATGGGATTACCTTTTTAAACTTCAACCCTGTAAAGTATCTAATAAATATCGTTCGTGGCTCGGTACCTTCGTCCCGATATTAATTATAGATGCTTTTATATTCAAAGTAGCTCGAGCGCTCTCTTCTACCGATAGGCGCACCCCCTCCTTTCTTTCCCCTCCCCCACCGACCGCCCTTCTAGCCCCATGCCAATGCCCCTCTTCTATACCCGATATAGCTCCACCACAAAACCCACCCTCCACGTGCGGTAACTCCTGCCCCGTTCGTTGCTGTTCCCACCCCTATTACTTTTGGTACCCCTCTATATTTCCTCGACGTAACGTTTTCCCTCGCGTTCCCAATACTCTTCTTCGATCCTGCTGATCCTACCGGATCGAGAATTCGTTCATACTCGTTCGTATGCACGTGTACGTATATGTGTATGTACGCGCGCGCGTGTGTGTGTGTGTGTGTGTGTGTGTGTTCGAGAGGGAAGCTATACAAGAGTCCCGATCGATTGGTCGAATCAAACAGGTTACGGTAGTACTCTCCTCGTGTCGTTCGTTCGAAAGAAGGGGAGAAACCAGATTCGCTTTGACCATCCATGGTTGCTATCGAATCTCTACTGACCCATTATGTACATATGTATGTATGTATGTATGTATGTATATAGATATGTATATGGTAAAATACGTACGTAGAGATCTAATGTAAATTACGTTAAACGTTCATTCTCGGTTGCTTCTCGATATCTACGTTCGTTCGTTCACGAATCTTTTTTCCTCTTCTTTTTTCTTTCTTTTTTTTTTTCTTCTTCTTTTTTTCTCTTTTTTCCAGGAGATTTCCCGTCTTTATCATAATGATCGCAAAAGAATTGAATATTTTATACGTTTGACGTGAACGTACTATACGAAATCGATCAGATTCGTTAAAGAAAGGTCAAAAGCTACGTACGTACGTACGTACGCATACATGTATGTATGTATGGATATATATATATATGTATGTATGTATGTATGTATGCACGTACAAACATGCAAGTTAACTCGCTATCGAGTATCGACCCTAAAGCCACGATTGCCGAGGTTAAACGTGTAGTTTCCTTCCTAACACATGCCGCTATATAGGGAACTAGTACAGGTGCAAAGTTACACCGACCTATCGTAGAATATGTAACATTATTAAAGCATTTGATCTAGGACATTTGGTAGTCGGCCCTTCGAGAATGTCACGTGAAACGAATATATATGGTGTTTTTTTCCAAAAGAAAAAAATGTTTTCTTTATTCTTCTTTTTTTCTTCATTGACAAAAAAATGAAAAAGAAAAAAAATGAAAGAAAGACAAGAAATTCTTTTCTACCTCTATATACACCCTTCTCCAATTATTATTATTATTATTATTATTTTATTATTTTATTATTATTATTATTATCGCATACGAAACGTTTGTTATACTACGACGCATCATGCGTCTAACACTAATCGTAAATTAAAACTGAGGAGAATCATTGAAACGAGATGCCAATGAAGGAATTGGAGAAGGTCGAAAGTCGAGATACTCCTCGTACTACATACATACATACATACATACATACATACATACATACATACATACATATATATATATATATATATATAGTTATTTATTCATAAATGATAATCGTTTCTAATCACTTATACGCTATCATTATTATGGAAGATAAATCTATCGTTAAATAAACCCTTACCGATTATATCATATTATATATCCCGATCAATCTGTCAATCTAATATACCCATGATCCTCTTGTTTCTCTCGTCGTAGAATGTAAAGAAAGAAAGAAAGAAAGAAAAAAAAAATAAGAGACAAAAAGAAAAGAAAAAGAAGAAGAAGAAAAAAGAGTAATTGGTTCTCTTTTATCTACGGTTTGCGTTAACGTTAATTACAATGTCCGAAGAGTCACGTGACGAAAAAAAAAAAAAAAGAAAAAAAAAAAAGAAAAAAGGAGGAAACGAAAAACGATGATCCTTTGGTGAATCATGGATGAACGTATTGTACGATAGATCGTAAAAAGTATAAGAAGTGTACATGCATACACGGGGACGGGGAAGAGAACGAAGTAGAAGAGCGCTGAGAGAGAGAGAGAGAGAGAGAGAGAATGAGACGGGAAAGACAAAAAGAGGAAGATAGAAAAGAGGCAGAGAGGTAGTAAGAGCTACGGCAAATCGTAATGAGCCATTGTTTCCTGCAAAAAGCCTTGACGATGTTATCGATAATTACGAAATGATACGGGAAGCATAAATATATATCCGAGGAACAGAGTACGTTAATGTACGGGTGGTTCGAATGGCGGATGCGTATCGATAGCTGTCGAGTCGCATCCTGCATATTTGTCACGTGGGGCACGTCCGCCAGGAAAAGGCGGAGGGCGAGGGGGAGAGAGGGAGGGAGAAAGATAGAGATAGACAAAGACAGACGGGGGGAGAGAGTAAGAGAGAGAGAGAGAATAGAAGAGAAGAGAAGAGATGGCCAAGATATGATCGCGAATCGCAAAGATCAATGATAAGGATTGTCCTCGAGAGAGCTAACTTCGAATAAATCGCCAAGAATGATCTCTTTCATTCTTCGAATGATTTCAATTCGTAGCTATCATTAAATATATTTCATACGAATTTAATATCATTATATCGACGTTAGAAAATCTTTTAAATATCTAAACAATTTTCTCGTATGACGAATCTGATTCTTTTTTTTTTTTTTTTTTTTTTTTTTTTTTAATTTCTACGTACGAAGAAAGCATACTTATCTTTTTTTATTCGATCTAAAAGATAATCATTTATGTTCGTAAAAGTAAGAGTATATATATCCCCATAGATCTTTTGATTCATTTTTATTTCTTTTTTTTTTTTTTCTTAATACAAACTATGGGGAGGAGGGTGCAATGGGGGGCGGGGCGGGGGGAGGAGGGTCTCTATCGGTCGACCAAGTCGAACCACTCGGCACGATATTTTACCGCCGAATTCGTAATTACTTTAATTGGCTCCAGATGCTAATTAATGACCTAAACATATGCCGCGTTATATAGATCGCAGTCCGATAGGCCAAGCATACGTGGCGTTACCCCAGGGACACGCAGAGAGAGAGAGAGAGAGAGAGAGAGAGAGAGAGAGAGAGAGAGAGAGATCGGGGTGAGAACGCATGTGTTTGTCATTACAAGCTGTACGACGATGTTATCGCTTCTGAATACCTCCCTTTTGCTTTCCATCTCCGTCTTTCTCTATCTCTATCCGTCTCTTCTACTCAATATATATATATGTATATACATATATATACATATATATCTTTCTCTGTCTATCCTTCCTCCTCTCTTTTCGAAGATTGACTAACCGGCGATCGACTAATCAAAAGAGACTTTACACGCTTCCGTTGTCAGTAATCCATTTTGGGATATCTTGTACGAAATAATTAATCGGGTATCGATTATATCGATATCAAAGAAATGACAAAGAAAACAAGAGAATGATATTCTTGAATAAATTAATAAAAATAGGAATAAATATGACGCAATGATAATTATTAATGATTTATAATTAATTTCTATGGACGATCGAATATTTATAATCATATTTGGTCGTTCGAGTTATTATACGAAATACGGGGATAAAATAAATCCATATGTAGATCAGAAAGAAGA